TACAACTATCATAAAAATATTGGAAATATAGAACAAAATTATTAAAATAAAATCTGAGGACATGTCTGAAAAGAGTGCATAGACATCTACAGAGCTGTAAGAGGTATTGAACCCCTCAGGGATTTCTTCAGTGAATTTTGTTTTTCTGACACTTTTCAGGTCTTAAGAATAATTTAAATTGATGATGATGATGATGATTATTATCATTATTATTAATGTCAAGAGTCTCTTATTTAAGTTAGCGTTTATTCGGTAACACTGCATTTGACCAGGTGCGCATAAGACTGACATGATACTATCATAAACATGGCATAACATTTGTTACGAACATGACGGAATATTCATAAATGTTTATGACTGTTGTCCTGAGGAATCATTCGATAATAATGACACTTTTAAAGTAAAGTTGCATTGAAAGACCATCAAAATTGTCAACATTGCATTAAAAGTGTCAATAATACAAAGCTGGCGCTTCTAATGGACTTTTAGTAAAAGTTTGAATGCAACAACTTTGCATTAAAAGTGTCATTACTTATCAAATGACACTTCAGAACAACAGTCATAAACATTTATGAAGACTCCTTCATCTTCATGACAATTATGAAGAAGTAATGCAAGTCTTATTCACACCCTGTCAAATGAAGTGTTGCTTTTATTGCAATATTCTACATTATAACGCCTGTTGTTGGGAATTACTCTATGTTGGGCATCAATTGCTGAGCTGTGATGTCATTAAAAACAAATACAAAATCTATAGAGACATGATATCGTTTCAGCCTTGAAAAATAATGTTCAGGATTTGAAGTATAGACATGTATACTCTTATATGATACAAAATCTTTGTATGAATGAAACTTTTCACATATTTACATATGCATGGATTGATTAATTGTACTTATTTCCAGAAAGAAAGCTTTTCTGATAATCTGCTCTCTTTACAAGACAACTTGCTCTTACAGAAAACTCTTTGCTTTGTGGGGGTTAAGAAGAACTATTTGTCAAATTGCTGCTTTTTGCAAGTTATGTTTGTTCATATTATGGAATTTATTTCAAAAACATCTCAGTCGTATGCAACTGTGATCTGATGCATGAATGACAGTTGCAACATATCCATTCACTACATTCTGTTTCTTTTCTGAAGGTGAGCAGGATTTTTAGTTCTTGAATGTACCTTGACAGGTTTTCTTGCTTTGCTAAACACCGCACTTGTTCATCAGTAAAAATACACATTTATTCACTGGAAAATGACTTTTGATTCAGTATCACTAACTGGTTGATGTACTTTGTACCTATTACATTTTGAAAATGAAAAAAAGACAAAGCTATAATTAACCCTTTCATGCATAGTGGTCACTTCAGTGGGTAGCTGTCTAAAAGCCATTTTCTAGTGCTTCTTGTGGACTTTTATGTTATAAATGCACACAGACCACTGAAGTGGACACTAATACATCATAAAATATACTATCAACTACTGGCCATCAGCTGCAAATGAAATAAATTATTTTGTTAAATCCAATATGGCCGACAACAAAGCATGCCAACCGACCCGGTCCCTCCTTCTACTGTAGATGACTCTTGGAGGTAAAAAAAAATATTGTGACATCAGATAGCCCCTAAAGAACAATACTACTGATGTATGTTTCAAATAACTTTGTATTTGGAGAAAAATACAATTGATCACCTAAAAAAAATAAAAATAATTAAAAAAATAAATTTTACAAAAAATATGTTCCTACCTTTTTTATGCCTTAAGAAAATCAAGAAAAATTTAGAAAAAAATCCTGACACAAAGGATCATAATTCATGCATGGAAGAGTTAAAATGACTTTTTCCATATAAATGAATCTTATAATATCAGTTCTACCTGTTTGGATGTTGGCGAATACAATCCGTACATAGTCATCTCTGTCATATCTAGACTGTTCATGGTAGAAACCAAGAGCATGAAGAATCTCATGTTCAACAATGGCAATGTAGTCACAGCCTGCACCAATAGAGAGGTCCTGGCCATTCGCGAATACTCGACCAATATATGACCAGCATCTAGATCAGAAAAAAACACCAGTAAGACGTGTGCATCAAAATCTTTCAAATAAGCACCACTACATGTACTGTGAAAGTGATTTCTGTCATGATAATAACATTATACATTGTTTATACACTAATAATTCAAAACAAAAAGACTGTGACACACTGTCACCATGTCGTGAGACTATGATATGAAAAACGTATCAAGCTCCTCTGCCTTCACCCACTGCTAACCAGAACAACCAATCAGAGCCAGGAGGCGGGTCTTAGAGCTTTTGCATTCACGTAAATCAGCTGCGTGACTAGGGTTTTTCAATCAGCAAATATTTTTCAAAGTATGAAAAAAAGGAAACAGGGAACTTACCCATCTGCCTTTTTGATGTTGATGTAATAATCTTCAGAGTCCCAGGGTTTGAAATCGATGCATGACTTGACTCTGAACTGGTCAAAGGCTCTCATGATGACTCCTTTAGCTCTCAAGTCTTTCAGTTCAAAGTCAATTTCAAAGCAGTGAAATAGAGAACAAATGACATAACATTACTTTTGCTTATTGTTCTTAGAATCAAATCACAATAATATTCATTAGAAAAACAAAAACACAGAAATATTTTCATTCAACTCATTTGCCTTTGCAGTTTTCCATCGCACAAATCATTTGAAAAAGGATTCTGTTATATTGATATTTGCTGAGTTGCAGATCCAGTTTTCAACAGTGAACGTTTACACTACAAGAACTTCCTTGAATCACACATCCACTAAAATATCAAACCCAAAAATTTGGTTCAAATAAATTTCTTTTATGAAAGAAAGAAAAATACCCAGGCCTTCATCCAAGACGTAGGGAACTGGGGATGTCCACTGACTGCTTCCAGGTACAATGCTGCTCCTTTGAATGTTTGGAGGCTGAACAAGTTGTGCATGAGACACGGCCACATAAGACAAAACATACACACAAAAATATACTTTTAACTGAACCCTGATCAGGGGCTTGTGGCACCAAACTTACCTCACGAATATCATCAAGTGTTAAATCTAAGATGAGGGCATAAAGTTAATAGTTTTTAAAAATAAATCCATTTCTCAAAAATCTTTTTACAAAATCATTGAAATGTAACTTTACCTTGTGTGTTGTTTTCACTGACATCTACAAATCACACAGTATTCTTCTTTGTAAGTTCACATTAGGTCATACAAAAGCCTAAATGTATAAAGATATAAAATAAATGTGTGTGACTTACCAATTATCTCCACTTCCACCTGGATTAAAACAATGGAACAAAGATGAACATAAAAACAAAACAACTGACATAAAATAATGGTAAAAAGAAAGCATTCTTCCTTCAAACATGGGAGGTTTACATGTTTGGAGGATGTTCTAATTTGTTGTACTATTTTCCATTTTGACTTTCTTTGTTCAATAAAGGATGTTGAGAAATCT